CAAATTTTCAACAATTTTTTTCTTCTCATTAAAACAGTGTTATTTTTGGCTAATTTTAAATGCTACAAATATTAACGAATAGATTTAATATACATAGAACGTGAAGATTGTACATAGTTAAAATATGTTTCACACAAAACCAAAAAACATCCTTTAATTTTCTATAACAAAGTCTTCATACTTCTACATTACTTGTGCATTTCATATCTTAGATACAACCCGTAACTCAAATGTCATGAGTCAGTTGTTCAAACATTAAACTTTAATAATTATAAACACACACATAGCGGCGTCTTCTGACATTTAACATCCTCTATTTACTTTGACAAATATTTTAAAAGTATAGTAACAAAATTTTTGACAATTTTATAATTACGTAAATAATTTTTATTTATAACTTACTCGATGTACTTACTTTATTTTCTTTATATATACTAGCGAATAAATGATAATTTTGAATTTTTTTATATATTTAACTAATATGTATATATAATAATATAATTAATCGCTGCCTCTCATGAGTTACACCGTCGTTCTAACCTGCACGACGAACAAACACGAACATTCACGAACGGACGGCGCTAAACCTACCGTCACGAGCGATGACGACACGCGTTAATGGATCGATACACACACATACACACACACACACACACACACACACACACACACACACACACACACACACACATACATAAATACATATATATATACATACATACATACATGTCGTCTGGAGTAAAAGCCATCTTTTTCGGAGGTCTATTTCTCTAGACAAAGGATTCTTTGCTATATCAATTAATACAGCTATATTTCTTACATAAGATCATATTTGTATATACTTTATGTGTGCTTGGTTCAACTACTGAGAGAATAAAAGTGTTATTTTCCCAATATTTTTGTGTCAAAATCTCATTAAACTTTATTCCTCTTAAAATATTTATAATTTTGTTCATGAGTGAATAAAATCAATATTATTTATAAAGCAACTCGTATTTTTATGTTACCATTATAAAAATATACAATAATATATTAAACAAACTATGCCTAATTTTAATGGATTTTAAAATTATATCACATAAAATCTTTCGAAGCGAGGCGAGGTATGACTAAAATAAAAATAATTTATTTTAGGAAGACCTACATACTTATTAACTGAGAACTGATTTTAATATAATTATATATTATGTATATAAAATGTAATATATATGAATTTAAATAACCTCTAATTTTCCTTACAAGGAAATTATAATTATTTTCCTTACATAAAACCTCACTGAAAAACAACGTTTGACTCAAATGAATGGAGACAGCGTCTTAAGTCTCAACATCTTTATAATTAATTAAACCAAATATTTATGTTAATGTAAGCTGTTAAATGTATTAAAGTATTACGGAGCTGGCAAATGGAAAACTCAAAGTATCGTTACAGAGATCGACTCGGAACAAACGATATAAGTTTGACGATAGAAGGAAACGTTACGACGCACTTACCAACCAAAAGATAATAATAATTACTTCTTCTTCTTCTTCTACCTGGCAATTTCCCAGCTATAGCCAGGGTCTGCCTTACATGTTGAGAATAGTTTTTGGCTATTTGTTTTTACGACCGGCCGCCTGCCTGACATCAACCCTTTTTTGGGAATCAACATTAATCAGTGATGTCTAAATAATATTAGAAAGTACATATGACTCGGAGAAATTACATTGGTACTTGCCCGGGCCAGGATCAAACCCGCGCCCTCGTGAATGAGAGGCGGGCCTTTGAACCACTAGGCCACCACTGACTAATAATAATGACTATACATAATATATATTATATAGATATATATATAATTAAGTTGACGAGTATAAATCATTGATTTTTACATATTAAGACTTTTAATGTATACTTTGGCAGACCCTGGTTAAAGCTGGGAAATTGCCAGGAAGAAGAAAAATTTGTATACTTTACTATAAATACGAGTATATTATAGTTTTTACTTTATCATTCATATAGACCAGTGGTTTTAAGAAGAAAAAAATATTGTTTCAGTATTTCAATGTCAATTATTACTTTCATTAATAATACCTTGTTTTTTTTAGAGATATACAACTTTAAGTTGCCAATACTTTTTTAACTGGCAGTTATTTTGATAGCTGTCCAGTGATTTGTGTTTAATTTGGTTTGGCAATTCATCATGAATAGACTAACGCTTGAGCAACGCCTCCAAATTGTGCAAATTTATTTTGAAAATCATGGCTCTGTTCGAGAAACGTATCGCGCACTACGTCTATTTTAAGGTCCACATAATCGTCCATCAAAATAATTAATTTAATTAACAATGGATAGTTTACTCTAAATGGTAATACGCATCCACAGAGATGTCCTACAGTGCGTACAGAAGAAGTTATTTCTGCTGTAGAGCGTAGCGTAGAAGAAGACGCCAATCAGTATATCCGCCGAATAATTGGTCCGTACTTCTTTAGAAACGATGCTGGCCAGAACGTTACAGTAAATGGTGACCGCTACAGAGCGATGATTAGTGACTATTTCGTTCATCAATTAAACAACCATAATGTTCAAGAGTTCTGGTTTCAACAAGACGTTGAAACATGTCATACAGCTCGTGCCACAATTGATTTATTAAGAGAAACATTTGGTAACCGCATAATTTCATGTTTCGACCCGTGAATTGGCCCCCAAGATCATGCGATTTAACGCCGCTTGATTATTTTCTGTGGGGATATGTAAAGTCGTCAGTCTACTCTGATAAGCCCGAAGCCGTTGATTACTTCGAGGATAACATTCGTCGCTCTATTGCCGATATACAGTCACGAATGTTGGAAAAAGTCGTTGAAAATTGGACCTCCAGATTAAACTACGTACGAGCCAGTCGTGGAGGTCATATGCCTGAAATCTTATTTTAATTATAATGAAAGAATATTATCTTTTCAAAATATTATATTTCATATCAATAAAAGAAATCATTTTTGTTTTATTTTATTTCAAAGTTCTATACCTCTAGAAAAAACACCCGTTATTAACAAAGTCATAAAATATAAGAAAATTACTTCTATATATTATCTTTTTTAAACATTAACTTATTTATAATATATATGTATATATCTCATTTTATATAACTATCAAGAATAGAGTAGAATACAATATTTCAATCGTCTAAATCAAAAGCTGGTAGCATTGACCGTGACAAATGATCCGGGATTACCGAAGATCGGCCGTCATCACTTATTGATTCCCGGATAAATCTCCCCCGGGACAGAGATTTAACAAGATTAATGTATGAGGAAGGTGAACTCTTTAGTATAAACGATAGCTACTGAACAAACATAACACACGCCCTATCATAATATAGAATTATAAATATATTATAATGTGCAGTTGCTTAATTAGACTACAAAAAGCCGAACAATTTAAACAGAGGTGAGTGGAAAAAAATATATACAAAATAAAATGCTCGCGTAGACAAGGAATAAAAGCGAACCATAAATAATAGAGGATGCCTCTGACACGCGCTAAATGAGACCAGCCTCCCTTCCTCCTCCCCCCTCCCTCCCTTTCCCCTACATTCCTCCCGACTCCCCGCTGCGTCCATTTTTAATGCGATTGTCCTACACTGTTTAGTTCTTATACACATTTGTTTCGTATTTTAATAAAATTGAAGTACATTATAACTAAATTTATTTACATTATTTATAACCATTAAAATATAAAGTTCTATCTAAAATTAAAAGATGAATTACGTATGTTGGCAACTGGAGGTTCCGGAAAAACTACGAAACTCATACAATATGTATATTATAATATGAACTACATATTAAAACTTATAACCTTCACCTAAGACTACATGATTGACCCGATGTTATGATAGCAATACCATTCCATAGCTTGTGTGTATCAGGAATCTTCTGGTTCACACGGCTTGGTGTTCGTTCCGCGGAGTCAGCGGCCTCAAGAGTTATATATTTTATACAACGATGTCGCCCCGGCGATGTTCATTTATTTTTTTATATGTTGTTCTTACGTAACAGACGATTAAATATATGAGTTCTCAACAAGCCGAGAGTACACAGAAATTAGTAATACAAGTTTTTATTGTTAACTTAATATTAATATTTTATAAACCACACGTTAAAACTGATCGTATTAAGTTAAAAAACAAAATCCGCTGTATATTATTGTTTAAATGTTACACATATTAAGGGTATGATAGATATTGATCATAAATAAAATCAAATAATAGATAATATTGACATCATCTTTAATAAGGGTTTACTTGAAAACTGTTTAAACTAGATTCGTTCAGTTATACGTTAGCTTTGTTCGTGTGTCGACTTTTATTTGATTATAACCATAGTTTTCTAGTATATTTATAATAGTACGAGTATGTTAACATCAATAATAAAATAGTTAATCTTTATATATAAAAGAAAGTCGTGTTAGTTACATTAATTATAACTTAAGAACGGCTGTACGAGTCTGGCTGGAAATTGGAGTAGAGATAGATTAGAACAATTGAAAGGACTTGCGATACTTTTCATCTGATTGAAACAGAAAAAAAAACAAGTTGATCAAATCCAAAATAACCACAATCAACTTATCTAACGTCATTAAAGAGAAATAGAGTTCGCTCAGTTACATATACATTTCTAATTTTGAAACTAACGTAGATGAAGTCGCGGTCAAAAACTTTGATTTGAAACTGAATTCTTTTATGACAAAATTCAGACACTTTACCAACTAGTCGATTGCGTTTTCATACCGTGCGTTATAATTTAACTAATATTACCTCTTTATCATTCTGAATAACATATGTCTATTAAATTTTGTTCATCAGATATTCATACAAGTTTTTCCCATAGCGGGTTGATGTCAAGCAGGCGGCCGGTCGTAAAAACAAATAGCCAAAACTATTCACAACATGTAAGGCAGACCCTGGCTAAAGCCGGGAAATTGCCAGGTAGAAGAATAAGAGATATTCATACAAGTTTGTTTGCAGGTCTGGTTTCAAAACCGTCGCGCCAAATGGAAGAAGCGTAAGAAGAGTACTAATGTGTTTCGTTCCCCGGGCGCGCTGCTGCCTTCTCATGGTCTGCCACCTTTCGGGGCTGGTGATGTCTGCAGTCCAGGAGTTTTCGCTGATAGACCCTGGTCTATGCCTGCAGGTAAGATTCGCTAGAACATTCATCATCAGCCTATCAGAGCCCACTGCTGAGTCTCTTCTCACATGGAGAAGGTTTGAGCATTAACCACGCTTGCTCAAGACGGGTTGGTGATTACACGCTAGTACATTTCGTTCGGTAAAACATCTACAATACTCAATATGTTAATGAGATCTAAGACTTTCGCGTTAATTCATTTAAATGAAACTTATATTTTTCGGATATACTATTTGGGTTTCTTTTGGAAAAAAACTACATAGTCCCGATGTGTAGGTTACTTTTCAACAAGCGCGATCACAGGCTTAAGATAATAAAAAAGTTGCATAAATTTTTAAAAGTAATTCCTATTTATTTTAAATTAATTTTATTAATGCATATTATATGTACATATATGTTTCAGTAATAACAATAGCGTATTCATTGAGCCTACAATCAAACCAATTCATGATCACCTCAAAGTCTTTTTCGACCACACTTGTACCTGATCCCTAATCAACTACCCTATTTCATCAAACCGGCACTAAATATTTTGTTGTTATCAGGTTTGGGCCAGTTGTCTCAAGGCGGTGTGGCGATGGGCGGCTTCGGCCAGTTGTCTGAACTCAACCCGGCACTACCCATCAGCTCAGTGGCATCACAGCCTTATCAGTCACACTACCCGCTGAATACACTCGGTAAGATTTAATATTCAACATTCATTATTAATATAGCTCTCATTCTAATGATACCATAAATGGAACAAGAGTTTAGAGTGGTTGCAATCGAATTGCAATTTATTATTTTCAAATTTTATTTAGTGGCAATCTGCTGTTTAAAAGAGAAATAAAATTAATGTGTAAATTTACTCGTCTCAAAAGAAAATAATTAAAAAACTATCAAGTTTCACTAAATATTATTTTTGTGTACAAATTATTTTACTAATTTTCTAGATGTTCTGGAAGTTGAATTTGGTCATACTCACTTCTTTGTATTATCCCAACAAAATAATTACGTAAAAACGAAACAAAACCAAGCGTTCTTCAATAATAGCTTCAACAATTTTATTTACTCTGATAAATAATTAGAGCATTCAATATGGTTGTATTACCAAAGATCCACAAATAAGATTAGGTACTAGACTCTGAACATAGTTAAATTTAAATTTTATGTACACTAACTAAAAAAATAACTGAATCATAGTCCCAACTACCCAACTCTCTCAACATTTTTTGTCATAACTTCATAAACTTAATTTTCCTTATCTTGAAACTTTTTGTCCATTTTCTTCCAGGTGATAATAATAAAGTCTCATATTAATTTTTATTATTTCCAGGTGATACAATGATGTCTTATTGTAACAACATTAGCGGCCAGCAGCTGGAGGGGTCAGCGACCCCGACCCCGCCGCACGGGGGTCACTGTGGACCCAATAATGGATCACCTACCAACGGTTATATATAAACATATATACATATATAAATAAATTTACTACTTATTAACTTCATAATATTAGAACATATTATATTTGGTTACCTTTACGTGATGAAAACTTCAACAATATCTGTTTTTTCACGTTTTAAGCATTTTAGGAATAATGAATGATATATTACGTTTCTTTAAATATCTATTAACAGAACTTTATTCCATTATACACATTAAAATAGTTTTCTTCTAGCTTGAAGTAAGGAATGGAAATTTGATAAAAATACAAATTGTTTTTGAAACTATGTCTACTATATAATATATTTAAGATATAATATTGTGATGTGGATGACACAAACAATTCAAATATTAATGCTTTCTCTATCAAAAAAGAAACGAGATTTAAAACTATTATTTATTTGTCAATTCTAATATCTTCATCTTTTCTTTTCATAATACATTTTTTCTTTCCACAATTCATCTTTTCTTTCCATAATACATGTTGTATTATTATATATAATAGTATATAGATTCTTAATTATATTTCTTATAATCAGGTGGCAATGAATGTGGCGAGGATGAAGTATGGCGCGGTCACAGTATCGCGGCCTTAAGGCGACGTGCCTCCGAACTATCGGCCGCTATACCACCATACTTACAACTCAACTACGACGCACACAGCCCCGTATATTGATATCACCTCAAAAAAATCCACATCACCTCAAAAAAATCCACATCACCTCAAAAATTTCCAATATCACCTCAAAATAAATCCTTATCACCCTAATTTCATTTTCCTTGAAAACTTAAAAAAAATCCTTATTATTCCTAACTAGATGATTATGAAAATTTGAATGAAATATTTTGTATTTTTTTTGTAATTTAAGATTATTGTATTTAATTTAAGTCCTATTCAACTGACACGCTTCCAATGACATTTTTGTTTCATATATATAAATAGTCATATATTTTACATTCCCGATCCGCCACTGAGATTATATAAGTTGAAACTATAACCATATCTTCAATAAATCGTCATTAGTCTCGTAATTTTTCCAAAACACCTATAAATGTTATACAAAATAGCAAAATAAGACCTTAAATCAATGAAATAAGACACTTAATGGAATGAACTCAGAGATTCATCTTAATAAATTGTTTCTCTCTTCGTAATTTCGAAGTTATATTAATAAAATAATGTAAATTGTGAGCTGTATTTGAAAATACATGTATACGCGTTCGTACAATAATAATATTAGGTATAGATATTTATTATAAGTAACTTAGACATAAAGAATTAGGTGACTGCTAGCTCGCGGTTGGTAAGACATTCCATAGTATAGTGGACATAAAATAGTATAACAATTATTATGTTCGGACCTTCTAATAGTCGAAAAGTAACTAAATTTTATCTCAAAACTAATATATATGTCTCCTATGTGTAAGGGCCAATGTATAAAAGATAATTAATTGTTCAGTAGAGACGTTTTAAGTTTGATTTCAATGTATTTTGTACATACAACTGATGCTTTTGATACTTTGAATAGCAACTATGACATACATGTACGACATATAACATTGATGAACTATTTGTTTTTTAAATAATGTATATAAGTACTTATACGTTAAAAACTGTGTTACTTACGCTTTTTACAGCAATAAAACCTAAGTCTTTCCATCAACAAATACACATTTTTTTAAATTAACTGTTTAAAGCAAAAAAATAAAAGAAAATTGCTACATTGGCCCTTATACATAGAATCTCTCAATATATTGACTTTATTTTTATTTTATTTTATATAAATATCATTGAATACTCATATTTCTCTATATATAGACAGACTGTAATGTTTGTTTCATTATCCTCATGTTTGTATTATAAGCTGTTCGTGTATCTTTTATAAGTATTTAATAGACGAATCCGTGTGCGGGAGCCATAGCTAGTGGTTAACAGTTCCTATTTGTTTATCGCTCCGAAGTTTTAGTGAATCCTATTTATTTTTTTATCAAGCCGTCCGATATTTTTAATATATTGTAAATTATTTAAATATTTTTTCAACGACTTTGGAGCTTACACTTTATTTGTAACCAAAGCAATAATTATATTTCATTTGGGACTTCTTTATCTCCACAGACCGCGTTATTTAGTCAATGATATTATTTTTTATGTTCAAAGCTTCGCTGGTATGCTTCAAGAAACTTATTTTTTTGTAAATGACTGAGTGAATGTTAATGGTGTATGAAAAAACACAGATTTTTTACATTTTATATATAAATAATAATAATTTCAATCTTCATACTGTGTATTAATTGCCAACGTATATATGTATTGTTTAAGATGTATAAGATCTGTGTATAACAGTTGTCTCGCTTCTGTATAGTAACGTCTAGTATACGATATTATTGTAAGTATTATATACAATAGAGAATGTTCAAGCTCGGTATTTTTTATTTTATCCCATCTACTATACATATTTATTAAAACTATTCTAGAAACACCCTAAAAACAAAGAACAACGCTACACAATAATATTAAAAACTATTAAATGATCAAAAAATCATAATAATGTTTTATAATTCAGACTGCGTTTATTAATTTCAACCAAACTTATATTTTTAGTTTTTACAATTTTCTTTCTTTTACACTGTCAGGTTTCGAGAAAAAAACGACAAAAATAAAATGATGTTCTTTTTGTATAAGTAATAGGTATCTGAAAATTCCACAAAATGGCATTGAAAATTGAATTTTTTTATGGCTAGTATCCTGTGGTACAGCGCCATCTTTTGCAATATAACGGATTTGGATACATTTTTGTTAAGTTGACATTCTAAGAGATGGCGTTAAAATGTCCTAAAGGCCATTTCACGACATTTTAGCTAAAGCCTAGCCTTGATTTCTTAGCACTAATGCTTTGTGAATTTTAACAATAAATCGAGGTGTTTCCTATAGTCTAATAAAGATCTTTACTGAAAATATAACCGGATGGTTTTTTAAGGATACTTTTTAATAAAATTTAATATAATCTCTTTAATTTATAATGTAACATTTGTTGCTAATAATATGTTCTTTTTTTAAAATTTTAATATGCTGAAGTTGGTATAGTCCGTTTGATTTAAGCTGAGCTTTGCATTTGTGTGAGTGCACACGGATAGTGTAGGTGTGATGTCAAATTTTTGAATGTCACGTTGTGTCACTATGTGAGTTATTCGAAATATAGGAACTATGTAAAAAAAAAGGATTTCGATATCAACGTACAATAAAATAAAAGTTTAGGCTAAAGAAGTATCAAGAAAATATTGCAATAATAATATATTGATTTTTTTGCAATGGAAAATCGTTAGCATCTTCTTATTTTTTAAACAAATAATAATAGTCATTAAATGTTTAATTAATTAATTTAAAAAACAATACAAATATTAAGGCCCTTAACAATACAAATATTAATCTTAATTACATTTGTAATTAACTAAACCTGTCCCTCTATCTAATATTAGTTTACATCTATGCCAAGATATATATAGAACTAAAAATAATTAGTATTCAATTGTCTCATCTTCCAAAATTTCTTCCTTCAGATATTTTCAATTCGTGTCGTATAATGTCTCCGATGATTCTCACGTCATCTTCCAATGTATCCAAATTAGCTTTAGTGAATGTGATTCGTATGTAGGGGCAGGGTTTGTCTGGGTTGTAAGAAAAACCGTGTCCTGGCTCCAACATTAGCCCGTGGGCGAATGAAGTCTTGTAAGCCTGGAATATAATAATATTATGATTAAATATAATTTCTTCATGAGTATGAAAATGTATTAACATGACCTGATCTTTGCTACCAAATACGCAGTAATGAGTATAGTTTCAATGCTTTTGATTTACTACCAAAACAATTAAATATTATCTTACTTATTAAGGCAATTTCAAAAAGAATATTGTACTGTTAAATTATACATTTTTTTAATGGAAAATAAGTGTTATCCAATCACTCATTAACGTAGCGTTTTTAAGCTATTATAATGACAGTTATTAAGTGTTTTATTGTTATTTTTTTATATATTTTTTCTTTTATCTAAATAATTTTTATATTACCATATTCCTCACGTCCTTAATGCCTCGTATTTTCACCCATATATAATAACCTCCGTCTGGCTTCTCCCACTCAATGAGGTCTTCGATAGTCTTCAGAGCGTTGTGAACAGCATTTAATTGCTTCTTATAAAACTCACGATTCTTAATAATTTGATCTTTGATGTAGTCTCGATCAGTTATTAAATGTAGAACTATCGTCTGAAATAATTATGAATTATTATTTTTGGGTTTATTTCTTAGAAAAAGTGTTGTGTTAATATACATATTATACGTATACCTATACGTTAAATGAAAACAGCTATGAAATATACTAAATGTACTTATTTTGTAGTTGTTTTGTCCTGTTAATAGTAAGAATTTTACTTTAGCAAGAAAAATAGAAAGTATTGTTATGATATAATGTATATCATAATTATTATATTATAATTACTATTATCATATATGTAATATAATGGTCTTAAGATTATATCCCATCGATGTTTTTGAAATACAATTCTTAGATTACCATCATTAATATACAGGTAAGTCAGTGGTGGTCTACTGGTTAAAAGGCCCACCTCTCATGCATGAGGGCGCGGGTTCGATCCTGGCAAGTACCAATGTGATTTTTCCGAGTCATATGTACTTTCTAAGAGTATTTAGACATCACTAATAAATGCATTCCCAAAGAGGGTTGATGTCAGGCAGGCGGCCGGTCGTAAAAAACAATTATTCAAAACTATTCACAACATTATTATACAGGTTTACAATACAAATCCATATATACAAATAATCTAGTTTATTATATAGGATAGTTTTTACATTGCTTTTCAATAAAGAGTTTTTGAGTTATTAGTATTTTACGTACTTTTTCTATTGATAAATCTCACTACCTACCTGTGCCAATGAACAGGGATGTACTATCTGTGAGTAGCTGGCTATCTGCATGGTGGTGATGAGTGTTGAGGGTCCGGTCACCCATCCTACTCTTAGCCCGGCAGACATCACCTTCGACAGTGATGAAACACGCAACACACGACCAGTAGTGTCCATAGACAGGAAAGATGGAACTATTCTCTGATACAATAATATAATATTAAAGTATTCAACATTTGGTTCTTTAGCTATATTGGAATAGTTTGAATTCGTGTTTTACGTTTTACCTTAGCTTTAAAGAAGTTTATTTCCAAAAACAAAGTTCGCTTATATAGGAAATTTTAAAAGATAACTACAATTAAGATTACAAATAATACACAGTAGTGATATTAAACAAGATCAGTGAAATCATCTAATATATGGGTTCTTAATCGTTTTTTTAAATATATTCAGAGTTTTTGAATTTACCTTCAATTTAAATACCTTCTATGTATAATATGGGTATCATGTTTACAATCACCGATCTTACTTCCAACTACTATCTGACTAAATTTAGTCTAAATTAAGACCAAGAAAAGAAAAATTGCCAAAAGTATAAGGTATTAATAGTATGTTGGTCTATAGAGATCATTACTGTACAATGTCTATTTCAGAGCAGTTTCTATTTTAAAACGTCCTCGTAAATCTTTTTCTTTTTGCGAATATCAAATTATCATTTTATATTATACTAGAAGACCCGGCGAACTTCGTATCGCCCTATAATCAAGAAATATCGTTACGTTTTTTATTTATATTTTTGGAGTTTATCTATTAAAGCCATAAAACTCCGTGTTTTGAAGTGCGACAGAATGATTGACATATTAGTTAGTTGTCAAATCTAATGTCAAAAAAAAAACGTTTGTATCAAGAACTACTAATAAATTAAAAATTAATTAAAAAAATATTGTCCAGCGGACAAAATTGTGAATCTAAACTGTTCCCAGATCCCCTTGAATACAGACAAAAAATTTCATCAAAATCGGTCCAGTCGTTTGAGAGAAGTTCAGTGACATACACACTCGCAGAAGAATTATATGTATAAAGATGTATAACTCACTTCAGTGTAATTCAAGAACATATACACATCATCTTCTACTATCATCATATTATACACGCAGGCTATCTCGTAAATCTTCTTCTTTCTTTCTTCTGTCATTAAGTAACCTGCTGGGTTACTGACTGTAGGTATGAGGTACATCACTTTAGGCATCTTGAGGCCTTTGGTTAATCTCTCATTCAGTACAGAGGTTAGAACCTCTGGTATTAAACCGTGTCTATCTTCTGGAATGCCAAGGTATTCTACTTCATACTGTCGTAACTAGAATGAATAATAATCTTATTTATTATTAATATTCATTTAAATAAAACTAATATTACTTATATTACGCGTTTCTTATTATTTTATACAACACACCCCCAACGTTTCGGTTACTTTTAACAACTGTGATGTCAGGCAGACTAGATTAAAATAATAAAAAAAGCGTAGTAAATCCGCAAATATTAGTTTTACTTATATATTAGATATTTAGTTGTAAATAAAAACTTAGTTACTCCTATTCCTTTCATTAGTTTGTAATAAATTAGGACTTAGTCTTCAGATCTGTCCTTATAACTACTAAACTGAACCGAACTGAAAATGAGAATGAGAAGTTTCGTCACATATTACATATCAATTCACTTATTTTAGGACCCCTGGTAATATACAGGGTGACTGGTGAATTACTATCGATACTTGAGGACGTGATATTTGACGATCATATATGACAAAATAAAAATTAATATAACATAAATATTAATAAACTTCTAAGTAAAGTTAACCAAAAGTTATGTAATTAATTACGCATCGTGTGAACACCCTACAGATTAGGTATACACACACACACACACGCGTGCGGCGGCGTGGTGTTGTATCAGCACGCCGCCGTACGCGTCCACACTTGGAACACTTGGAACGTGTCAACACTTTATTTATTTATACGGAAATTTTGTCAAAAATTAAGTACCTATTTTTTTTACATAATTCGAATGAGAATCATGTACCGAGTATTCTCCTTAAATATTGATAGTAATTCACCAGTCACCCTGTATGTAAGTATAACTAGTCACTGTCTCACTACTACACTTAGAGTGAAACGTCCCCGTTCTGCTTCACGCTAGTCGTTAGACTGCCGAGCGCATGCCGCCCCTCAAGTGGGGTACGTGAGACAGTGTATTATATACACTACACTTACAATAGCATGTAGTCCGATGTATGAATATTCAGTGGCTATAACAGGATCTCCAGGGTCTACCAACACGTCCGTACATAACTGCAGGCCATGATGTGTTCCATTGGTGACTAACAGATCACGCTCTAGAGGCGGTGGATGATGCATCTCCTCAATTATATTCATCAGCTCTGTATGGAGACGCGGCAAGCTGAAACATTATCATATTATTGGATATATAGGAATTGTTTTAACTGATCAGTTACAATAGCAATAACGGAAAAAATATGAGAAATATATAAGAATATTAATATTATAATTGCGAAAGTTTGTATGTGTGTATGTTTGTTACTTCTTCATGCTTAACGGCTGAACCGATTTTCATAAAATTTTGTATACAGGAGCTGACGACCAGGAATAACACATAGGTTACTTTAAATTCCGGAAATCTCGGAAATCCGCGGGTGATACCGCGGGGCGCAGCTAGTAAGAATACACAGACAGTCGATATCTAAATATAGATAAATGGATTTATTAATTTCAACAATTATTATTTATATTTAATTATTTATTTAAATGTTATGATTTCTTAATTATCAAACATTGATTTAAAATTCAACTATTGATAATTTGATACCACAATGACTAAATTTAAACTTTAATCTAAAAGGATTAAAATGCAACGTATTACCTTTATTTCTTTAAACTTTTTCATTGATATATGTAGTTACATTTGAAAATCATTACAAAAAGTTAGTTGTAAGTAAAATTTTGTATCATTAAATAATCATTACCCTTTTGGAGACAAGTATTGTTGCGATAGTTCTAACTCCTCCCCACTTATAATAATTTTCTTTCCATTGTTTTTCGTTATTTCGACGTCAGTGAAAGGAAAAGTCAATTCATTATTCATACCTTCTGAGAGATTTTTGTTAACTTTTCTGTCATATTTTTCGGCAAGTTCACCTGAAATATTTGAACATCTGATTAAAATCAAAACTTATTGTAACAGAATTTATAAATTTTTATAAATTATATCAGAAAAATAATATTATAACTCGCAAATGTAAAGCCAGTTTATAATAAAATCATTATATACATAGAATAAAATATGTAAATACAGTATGTTAATTCAATGTCGATAAGTACAAAGTAAAGTTTACGATTGTACATTTAATAACGGATCAAATTATTAGTTTGAACTATTAACATAAGTAAAAGGATCTCAAAAGCGAAAGGATTTCGTAACTTATATCACTTTTAAATATAGTATATGGAATTAAAATTAAGGATACCTGAGAAAAATTAAATTAACACTAAAATATAATGAGATTTAAGACTTTACCGAGTATTTATTTAAATGAAACAATTCTTTTCGGATTATACTACGCGTTTTGTTATTATTGTAAAAACTACATACTCCCGACGTTTCGGTTACTTTTCAGCAACCGTGAGCATGGACAGATAAGAAGATAAACTACGCATAGTCTTCTTTTTCTTCCGAGCAATTTACCAGCTTTAGGCAGGGTCTGCCTTACATGTTGTAAATAGTTCTTTCCAATTCTTTTTACGACCGGCCGCCTGCCTGACATCAACTCTCTTTGGGAATCAACTTAGTATAATCCGAAAAATATTACTTTCATTTACCTCAAAAATAACTTTTAATTCAAAAAATTACTGACTTATATTAACTTACTCAACTGTTGAGTGGGAGTGATCTTTTGAGTTAAACCTCTTCTGCTCAGAAACGACTCAAAATCCTTATTATCTAGCTTTTTATATTTATTGAAATAACTATAATCATTACTATAGTATTTGAATAAACTCTCAGAATCTCTTAAATTTCTCTGAGAGCCGTCCATTTTGTAAATATTATTATTTTATATCACTTCCGTCTTTTGGCCGCGACTTACAACATAACACTGCTTGTAATCTTTCATCCCGTGTATTATCTTAATGACTTCTATAATGATTTCTCGTTTAATACCTATTTAAATATTATTATGGTTTTATAATAGATGAATATTTAAATAACTATAAATACAGAAGTATGTCCCTAGTCTACCTAAGGTTAAATTTCAATTGAGTTTCAAACATATAGATTATTCTTAAACTGCTCTATTAGCGAATTCGTCTTTAGTTTTATACAAATAAGTAAACAAAAATATATTGTATGTTTGTTTGTTGTTTTATTTTATTTTTTTAATAATATTAAATGTTCTAGAAAATGTAATATATTAATCAATGATATTACAAAGATATCAATTAATCAAGATATGTGTTATAAGGAACTCGCGACGTAGACCAGACTAATGCGCACAAAGTTAACTAATTGTGTACTTATTTATTACCGTAAACAATAATAATTAATCAATCAGCTAGTTGTTAAGTATGGAAAATTTAACGAACATCGCCGGGAAATAACATTGTATGGATAAAATATCAGTTGAAGACACTTTGCCGTGTGAACCAGAAGATTCCTGATACCACACAAGCTATGGAATGGTATTGATATCATTATTATAATAAAAAATCTATATTACTATATATACCTATAAGAAAAGTCTTAATGAAATAATTCCAATTATATTTTGGTAGTGAATGTGGCGTCTATTTTTGTATGACGATAAATTGATAAAATTCTTTACTTATTAGTGTAGGTGTTCTTGGCCTTGTAATTGTATATTTAAATATATTTATCGTTATCAACCTTGACAATGATTTATAATATTTTAATAATAATATAGACGCGTGTATTATTTATGTTAGTATTTTATATGTACTAGGCAGTAGTTGGCAGAACCTGGCTAAAGCTGGGAAATTGCCAGGAAGAAGAAGATTATGTATGTAGTAAGTTTGTATATATTTATTATGTTTTCTTTTAATATTGTTTCAAAGTCTTCAAAGTTTATCTAATAGATTTCTCCGGGTGGGAATATGACCGTCTTTTTTGTTCATCAATTTATTACTTACATTGTTTGTTTTTTCTTCGTTATTTTTTTGTATTTCGTTTAACAATGAAGGCATATATCATGCTTTACACTATTTTGTACTCATTATTTTACGAGTAAATTTTGCTACCCACACATTTAAATCAAAATTAATTAATGATTTGAGAATATTTTATAACTTATTAGTGAATAATCAAAACTTTTTACAGTTAATATAACTACATTTCTTTCATAAAGCTATGAAATTGAACATAAAATTTTGTATACAAAACAAATGTTTGATTAAAAAAGTCAATGACCTCTGGCAGATGTCCTGTGTATATTAAAAAAATATCTGTATATATAATAAAACATAATCTTTGACGTGTTTGCACTCCCGGCCTCGCTTGTGTCACTGATAAGACATTGTCAAGGTGAATAGTTTTCAGACGAAGTACGAGTTTACATAAAAACTGACAGTATAAAAGTATTATTTATGAAATAATACTTATTTTTACAGCGTACGATTAATTGGTAAAAGTTTTATTTATTACTTTAGATCAATATACTCCTGACGTTTCGGTTACTTTACAGAAACCGTGATCACGGACAGACGACATGTGAAATAATAAAATAACTCGTAGTATAATCCGAAAATATTAGTTTCATTTAAATAAATACTCGTGAAAGTATTAGATAACATTATTAAAAATGTAGTTCACGAATTGACTTCAAAGACTCGTTCTTAGTGTTCAGTTTACGAAAGTAATGTTAATAAATATATATATATATATATATATATATATATATATATATATATATATATATATATATATATATATATATATATATATATATATATATATATATATATATATATATATATATATATATATATATCGTGTCATGTGTACCTAATATTCTTATGATAATAAATCTTCTTCACTCAGTCTACATTTAATCTTCCATCGTGAAGACATCTTGTAACCTCTAATTTCTAATATTATGTCTTTACTAAGTTTTCTTCTGGATATGAAAGATTAACATGAATTATAGTCATTATTCAACGATAAATTTAATAAAAAAAAGAAGATCTGGTACTTAGAGATACACTATCTCAATAATAAATTCAAATATGCCTTTAAGACAAGACAAGACGAATTCTTATTGAAATCATGAAGCACAGACCCGGCTATATTATTTTACTAGTATTTGTTATTTGTCAAAGAAGTTAATAGTATACGAATTATAATTCTTCTTGTCTACTAATATATAGTATAAAAAGTTAGACGAACCTTCTAAATAATCTAGAAGAATTTAATTAGATACTTATGTAAAACTATTTCACAACTCTTTCTTAATTAAACAGAGACTTAATAAACGAGATACGTAAATCAATAATAACGACAATTACAACAATATCTATCTATCTATATACTTATATAAAAATGGATTGCTGTTCTTTAGTCTGGCTAAAACTCGAGAACAGCTGAACCGATTTGGATAATTTTAGTCTTTAAATACTCCTGGAAGTCCAGGGAAGGTTTAAAAGGTGAGAAAAATTGGAATAATTGCCGGGAAAACCCAAAAAACAGCCCTTTTCTATTTCCCATACAAACGTTTTTTGACATTATATTTGACAACTAACTAATATGTCAATCATTCTGTTTGATTGAAACAGGAAAAGTTTAATAAATACCAATACCTGGTTATTTAAGAAGGAATAGAATTCGCCCGGTCAGCTATACATATATTACTAATGACGAAATTAAGGCGGACGAAGTCGCGGGCAAAAACTAGTTTATAATATAAAGTGATGTATCTCAACATTGTTGATAATGAACTTATAAGGAAAATATATTATAATAGGTCAAAAATATGATTTTTAAATGGAAAAATCCTTTTAAAGCTATAAACACACATACACATTTAGACATCGCTGTTAAATAACTAACACCCATATTTTTGTTTCGGCTGTTAAAAAGATGATGTCAAATATATTTTTATTAGTTCTTATTAATTTCGTTTCGTCCGTGTTAAGGTTATATTATTTACTTATATTCAACGTAGTTTACATTTTCGGATCCTTAATAAAGTATAGATATGTAATTGGAATTCAAAATGGCAATTTGTTAACTATTTAGTTATGTACAGTGCGATACGATAGAGACTAGAAGTAAATTAAGAAAATAAATCCATATCAAAACATACGAAGTACCATACTTATCTATAAAAATAAATCGCAAAATGTGTTGGTAAGCGCATAACTCAACAACGCCTGGACCAATTTGGCCAATTCTTTTTTAAAATGTTCGTTGAAGTCCAAGGATGGTTCTTATGGCGAGAAAAAATCGAATAATTGCCGGGAAAACCCTAAAAACAACCCTTTTCTTTTTCACATACAAACGTTTCCTAAATGAAACTAATATTTTTCAGATTTTATTTCGCGTTTTTAAAAAAAAAAGTTTTCTAACTAAAACGTAGAATCAATTTGAGCTTTATTACTATTACTTAAAGTTCATATTCAATTACAAGCACTCACTGTTATCTAAGAAATGCAGGTGTGTTCCTAACGTCAAAAAGTAAATTTGTACTTTCTTACCGCTGCACAAAGTTCAAATTCAATCATATCTATCAAAACAGTGTGCGTGTGTGCGTTGGATCACAGAATACGTCGTTGGAGGATTTAATGTCGCATTCAGAAACTAAAAAACAGTGATCGCGGCCCCGACCAATTGACTAGTCACAAAATATAATAATAACCATCAGATTTGTTTGTCTATGCGCGAGGTAATCAAACAAAAAACATCGTTTATCACAAAGCACTACAATGAATATAGAATTGATTTTTTTTTGTTAATAATTATGATTTACATGATTAAAATTACTTATTTTTAAATGCGCGATACATAAGCTGAGCTTGACGTTTGTGTGACTATATTAGTCTATGATAAGAAAAAAAGAGCGCGGGAATTGAAACGTTGACGCGGGCTTTTTGAAAATTTTAATTATTTTAAATAGTTTTATACTATAATTTGCAATTTTTTGTTTAGTTTATTGTAAAGAAGTAAAACTTAGTCTGTATATAAGTGCTTATGTGGAGAGATGGTGAAAAAACGTAAAAAGAAGGATTCGGGTGAGTCCTTGAATTTCAGCACAAGCAGCGATTCCGATTGCGAGGATTCGCCAGTATTGCAGGATGCAAATGCCTTCGCTCCCTTTAGGGTCGCTGATTATTGTCGGCGATACTCTGAAGATGCGGTAGCAAAGTCTGAATTCATAATATTTGTCGAAAGTACTAATGATGTCCCACTCGGTAATAGGGACATGATGTCGCTTAGTACTAGTTTTATACGCTCTGTAAAAGGTATACAACATTTAAAACAATAAATAAATAACGTGCGTAATCCAACGTGCGAATTTATCAAATGCCTTTTTAGAAAATACTACATATCTAAAGGAACGACGACTTTAAGCTTCAATATTACCGAACTATCGGGAGTTATCTCTTCGGTTCCCACTCATCTATCCAATCACAAAATATACAGGGTGACTGGTGAATTACTATCGATATTTGAGGACGTGATATTTGACGATCATATATGACAAAATAAAAATTAATATAACATAAATATTAATAAACTTCTAAGTAAAGTTAACCAAAAGTTATGTAATTAATTACGCATCGTATGAACACCCTACAGATTAGGTATACACTGACACTCACACATACGCGTGTCGTGACGTAGTGTTGTATCAGTACGCCGCCGCACGCGTACACACTTGGAACGTGTCCACCCTTTATTTATTTATACGGAAATTTGGTCAAAAATTAAGTACCTATTTTTTTTACATAATTCGAATGAGAATCATGTACCGAGTATGCTCCTTAAATATTGATAGTAATTCACCAGTCACCCTGTATAAAGCAA